GTCTCCTCGGCCCGTGACCGATCCAATTTTTAACACTGTCTTCTTTGCCCTGCTCTCGCTTCTTTACGCTCGATTTTCCTCAACCACTCGAGCTTGCACCAACCCTTGCCACTTCTGGGAACTCTTCCGGGACGTTCATTCGTTATGCCGTGGGGAATCATGAATACCGATGTAACGTGTTCTACAATTTATTTCAAGGGCAGTTTGAAAAAATTGTAGTTGTATTACAAGTATAATAGAACTCTTTTAACAGTGCTTTAATATTACATTTCAGAAGATTAGACTTTTTGGATCTTTTTTAAGATGTGGTCACATAGGGCAGATAGAGCTCTTCATTAACTAAGTCTTGATCAAAGAATACATTGTACCAGTTCGTCTTAAAATTTTAAGATACTTCCTTGAATATTTAGTTACATCAAAATTATGAGTCCATCTTTGACCAAACGATCAAGAAACTTTAGAAGCAAACTTTAAGAGCCTGACCTACAATTTTATCACAAATCAATCACAATTAAGGGCCAGTTCCTTTAAAATAAAATGTAGAACCGAATGACCGAAAGATCCATTTCCCCCATTAGAATTTATCGACGTAAATTAATACGTTAAAAGATGGAAGCGAAAGATATCAGCTTTTAAGCCGTAACACAAGTTGTAGCAGCGTGAAAGATACGCATTCGAGGAATGTTTGAGGAAATCTCATGTAAATGAGCTGGAAGACAAATTGAAGTAATTTCGATGTCGCAGCTGTTTCCTATGCACGATCGAAATGCGCTTGAGGAGTTTCACGGTTCTTCGAGCGATTTGCGTCAGGGAGCAAGAAATAGAGGATAAAAAAATATATCGAGGTGATCCCGAGATAACGCGCACGATCAGACGTTAAACTTTGTTTCGCCCGAGGTGGCAGTTACAGATCTCTCGCTAAGAGATAGAATAAAGATGGAACAAGAACGGGACGGACGAAGAGGGAGAAACGTACACGCAAGTTGAACCGTTAATAGCATCTTCCAGGTGCATAGATTAGCGCGTGTGCGTGACAACGTATAAACACGACGCTTTGCAGAATAAAGCGCTGCCGTCAGTCAAAGCATCGCATGATCCTTCGCTACGTCGTGCAAATCTTTAAGTACACAGAAAAGATTACTATCTGCACATTTTATCTCCTCTGTCTCGTTAATCCTCGCTTTTGCGATTAATAAATTTAACTACAAAATTACCATCACTTACAAAATTTCATACTAATATTTAAAGAATATTTTTAAAAAAGTATTTGTCCAGAAAAGTAAGCAATGTGAAAACATATAGTATATATAAAATAATATAAAAATATAAAGATTATAAGTGATACGTATAATAATTTAAACAATGACGAGAGAATTATGTATAATTAATGGTACCATGCAAATTTCAAGAGTTAAAGAACCTGCCCAGCAACATAGTTCATTTTCCGAGCAGAGATTATCCATCTGGTTGCAAATCTTCCGCATCGAATCGCGCGTTTCATCCATCCACCTTTTACAGGCGAACAAATAGTCGCATTCGAACAATTCCCTCGCCATAAAGCCCGCTTTAATTACACGCTCCGCTGATTTACGCTCGTCGAGTCGGAGTACGAGCGCGCGTCGCCCCAGAGCGGATTTTATGTGCGCGCTTTTCCGCCGGCGAAACGCGCTCGAAGAGGTCCGCATCGCGACTAGCGAATCACCGCAATTTAATCTCTCTTTATATAGCGATTAAGTGGCCCGCCGTTGATTTACAATATCGTAAACGCGCGACACTAACGGCCGTTGCAATATCGCGCACCGAATCAGCCTTCTGAACCTCGAGCGGTGCTCTCTAAAGAACGAACGACCAAAGATTTTCATTTTATCATACAGGTTTTTTTATCAAATTTCGCTTCGATGTCTTTCTTATAAGTCGCAAGAACATGGAGAACAAGAAGTTGCACCTTTTTGCAGTTTTTTAGTTGATACAAAAATATTGTAAGTAGATGCACGTTCGATGCGCATCCGATGATAAATGATCCATTTGAATTTCGAGCCGGGAATAATATTTGCATCAGAATGACGAACCGATTCAAGGACAATGTTTATAGAAAAGTCGACGATTTTTCTATATTTGATTGATGAACGAAGAATGAGTCGGTAAACCGTGCTCTTCGTGCCGTTGTAACAAAATGTATCTATTTTGTGTACAATGTACCATTCAAAGCGTTAACATTTTCTTTATGCAATAGATACGTAGAGGCAGATTTAAAAAGTGCATTATCTCGGAACAACGCGAGGCGGAGAACATTTGCGCTTTCTAGCGAATCCGCTCTGGAAACGCGATAACGGCCGAGTCCTTCCGCCGTTTCTCCCGGTGAAAATGCAAATGGAAGGAAACGGCACGAAGTGTGATTCCCTGTAATTCGCGAATTATCGCGGCACGGACAAAGTGCATCGGTTCAGATTAGAAAAGTAACGGGCCAGCTGGGATCGGACAGCGCCGTGTACCGTTAAATGCATGTCTCGTACTATCGAGATAAAGGTTGAACGTATTATCCTCTCGAAATCAGTTTTTCGCGAGCGTAGATTCGCCAGATAGAGAATCGAAGGCGACGTGACCGGGTCGAAAGGGCCCGGATTCGAGGGACGCCGGCCAACGGCAAAAACGAGATAATACGCGTACTTGTCGAGAAGACAGTTTACGATTTCCGTCCCGAAAGGGCAACGAAAAGGCGTTAAGTCAGATCACGACCCTAGAGGGTTGATATGCAAATGCGCATCGACGCTTCTTAGGACCGAAGGGAGCCGTTGATTGTTCGTAAAAAAAAAGAAAAAAGTTCGAGGTTCAAATTGACGTCGATCGAAGCCTAGCTATTATTCTCGTTCGCACTTTCTCCCGACGAAACGGTCGTTTTCAAAGCTGCAGTTTTTTACCGGCTTTCTCCTAAAACCGAGAGCCTGAGTAATCGACGAAATTACGACGTGCAGTAATTACACTGATGAAGACGGTATTATGAATGCAGAACATTGATGGAGAGGTCTCGGACGAACAGGTCTCCGCGCACAGTTGGTCATTATTTGGATCTTCAAATACTAATTTAAAATAAGACGAACGAGAACAGCGGGTAATTTCTTTTTAATGAAAATGTATTCGCGGAGATTAAATAAAAGGTGAATTTTGAAAGACAGCTATTATTAATGTTCCCCTTTCAAGTGTACCGAACTTACTCCAAATATCGACAATTCTTAATTCGAACAAGTTTTTTACCCAACTTAAACGTTATTTAATTTGCTTCCGTTATTTTTTACTTTCATTTAAAAATCTTCCCGTAGAAAGAACGACTTCGAAATTTTAATGGCCAGTACAGTGTAATGAACTCGGAATATTTTCAAAGGCTTCTTCCGACGTACAAGTGGGTAATAAGCGTATGAAAGGGTGACAATGGTGGCTGACACACCGCAACCGAACTGAAAAAAAGAAGAGGAGAAACGGCAGAGGAAGAGAGGGGGGCAATAAATATATTTTGACATGGGAGAAGCTGGTCGGGGCAACCTATGCATAATAATTGTAACGCTCGACCCGGCTCGAATCCTCTCTTTGGTTAGGTCGCACACGTGCGTTTACGAGTACTGTCGGTGACTCTTGCTCGCCTTTATGTCACTGACAAAAGTGTCGGCCTTTGTTCGACCCGAATTACGGTACTGTCTACCAGTAGGCAAATATTATAGCAACAGGCCGCCACGAGGGGTGACGATAATGTTTTCATTTGCCACTAACCCTATATGACCGCATGCACTCGAGGGTTTCGTGGCTTGTACTTCGAAAAAAGAATACACGTTGATCATTTTATTAGCGGTAGCAATTTTGAAATAAAACAAAGTCAAGTTAAAACTTTTCGTTTGTTATTTTCTCTGTTATAATGAAAAGTTAGCATCAAACTTTTATACGTTTTGAACTAAGCTTACATAATGGATTTTGTGATTGTAACTGAATAAAATTTCATATTTCACAAATTTAAAAATCAGAAGAATTTTCTTTAAAAATAGAATTAACTTCGTAGAAATTTTAGAGAGAAAACATCGAGTGTTTAGTGCCTCCTTAATTCGGAGAGAACGGTATCCGAGTAAAAGCAGTACTTGTCAAAAGTAAACGAGTACTAAAACCCTGCAGATAACAGCGGCCGTCGAAGAATACCGTACCTAGCACACGCAGTCTCACGGTTTCGCAATTATATTCCAATCAAAATTTACTAGTCGAAGGGATATTTTTAACGGTCAAAAGCGTACTTACGCCGCTATTAGGTTGCATTATCAATTTCACGCCGTGGTATAATCGCGAGCAGCGCAGCCGCTTTGGATGTAGACTTTAATTTACGAGGGATAAATGGAGCGGTGAATGGACTGTAAGATTGACGAAACGCCGGTGATTACCGGCTGAACGCGCGTGATTTATTTTCTAGTTTTTATAACTATCATTAGTCGGACCTTTTCGCCCCCTCCCTTCGTGCCTGTACCTACAGTTTCACCTTGTCAAGCCATTTTCTTTACGCGACGCTTGTAAATCGGTGCACTTGCATTTTACGGTGCGTTATTTACTCGAAATTGATATATCTCGATGGCAAATTTGAGCGCGCAGAAAATTTAACCTACTGAACGCGTATAAATTTCGATGCATAGAAATGTCAACGAGTAGGTCCATATTTTAATGCATTAAACTTTAATGATTACTAATTCTAGTGTGCAGGAAATTTACATAATTTTCAACGAGTAGTAATTTCAGCAAATTTCGACATGTAGGAGTTTCAATAGGTTTCAAGCAGAAATATGTTTCAGGTAGAAATTTTAAAGCAAAAATGTACAACGATTAGTAGATATCAGGGAGATATCAGGGAGGTCAACGCGTAAAGATGCGAACGTAGATATACGAGAGGTCAGAGAGTCGAACGCGCGATAAGGCGAAGACATGAACGCCTGCATAGGAGATGCTCCTCGAAAAATGGAGTAGTCTGCACTCACCTTAGTAATCGGACGATATCCACACTCGCGCGCCAACCGGTGTCCTCAGTTCACCACAAAACCACCAAAACGTTGTTCTCCGGATGGTCCGAGTCCCGTGTCACACGTAACACACCATAACCTTAGTTTCTGCCCGAGACACACACTGCCCGCAAAATAGTTCTGTCCTGTGGCGGTCGGTCACGTGGCGTGGCACATCGCACGCAGCGCGCACGTTTCCTCCTGGAGCGTACAAGCGGAGAGTCGCGTGTACGAATCGTTCACCTCGAAGCTCGATCGCGATCGATCTGCACCCTCTCGAAGGACACGCGGCCGGCTACGAACTGTCGCTGTCGATGCAAATTCACCGACTGTTTTCGAGACGATGCCGGCGAGTCCTGTCGTGGTTCGTCTCTCTCTCTGGCCGTCCTCGATTCGACGATTTTTTTCCCGTGGCTGGCTGTCGTCTGTCTCTCTCGAACATCCACGAGTCACGGTGCGGCCACGTCGATGGACGGGAGAGGACTGGCGCTTCGCGATCGCTACGACCTGTTCGACTGCATCGAAGGCGCATAAGGAGAGCCACGGCGAAACGACGGGATCTGATTTTCCCGTAGTGGCAGGGGCCACCTGTACCTGCCCATCGGTGCACGCCTGCCCTCCTGCCCGCCAATGGGTCCCTCTCGGGCCCAATCGCTCCACCAATCCGACTACGCTCGGTCCCAGGAAACCGGCTGGCCAGGTGCCACCCATCGATTCCCCACTTCCTGCGATCGCTCGCTCCTCCACTCTCCGGCGCAGAACCGACCGCTCCTCGTGCTCTGTGTTGACCAGATCCCCGTGCAGAACCGATCGCTCGCTGCGATCAGCTTTCTTCCTAACGGCTGCTGCCTTCTCCCAACTATCGCACCGATTTTTTTATCTACAGCCATTTTATTTACAATTTTCTATACATCTTTTCGTATATCTTTTTCAGCTGAATTTGATATTTGGATCGGACGAAAGGTCAGCAGATGAAAATACTGTGCTACATCTGATAACCGAACTGAAACTTCAAACTGATATCGTTTTTGAACTTCCATGTTCGTCACTGCTTATTCCTTCATTTAAACATTTTAATTTAACGCGAAAGTTCCTTTATTATAGTATTCTGTCAGTTGTACCGTTTGTTAGAGTATGAAGCTTTCGTGCATGAGAAAATTTTGTTAAACTCAAATTTGACGTTCCACATCCGTATCAAAATCCCGTTACGTCAACAAACGGAATATTCCATTTCGATATCGGCTAACTGCACCCATGTAATTTAGTCGCCAGTACAACAGCTCGTAATCACAGCCATTACCCGTTCTCTGCTTCAATTAACGTAGAGATTCGATAAATGGCAGAGTCTAGCGTAATGACGCGAGCGGAGAAGCGGAATCGTTAATCCTGTCGCTGGGAACGAAGCTTGCAAAACCGCTGGAATAATTAGGCGCTACCTAATCGCAATCGGAGGAACGATAAAAAGAACGCGAATGAATTAACGTGTCTACACGGAGCGGTTCGAATTTCTCGAGCCAAGAGGCACGAGGAATCCGGCGAGTTACAGAAACTGGTCGACCCAATAAAATGTCGAAAGGCGTTCAAAGGGGAGAGTAGGAGGGCAGGAAGGACGGGGTTGGACGGCGCCATAAATTAAAGAAGATGTCCACCCGTAGAAATTAAACCATAGGAAACTGGTTTTGAACGTAAAACGCTTCTTCTCCTGCTCTCGATCCTTCGCGCTGTCTCTCTCGTTTCTCTATGCCTCTTCGTTGCCACTTTTGACCCCTCTACCCCCGTCTTGACTCTATGAATCCTCCGGAGGCCCGATGCTTTTTTGTGGTCGTGTCTTTTCCCTGGGATCCGAACACTGTCTCGCTTCCTCGTTTAACGACCGATTTCATTTTATCGAGATAATACCGGAGTAGAAGCGGCTACGAATCTGGGAAAGTCCGCTATGTTTGGTCAGGTTTCGGGCCTTTTTACGAGCCAGATAGCCGATGGTGTCGGTGTCGATTCTATGGTACCGATATCGTAAACTGCCTGTTGGATTCGAAAATTGGATGAGTTGCGTCACGAACACGTCGACAACGTGGCTCGACGGAGATCTCATGCCACCTGATTTGCATCGATTCGACAAGTTTTTCTGTCCACTCAGATAAAATGTATACAAAGAACACGGATGAATAAATGTTGCTTCTTCAGAAATCGATTTTTTGGAAACGTTTTATCTTTCCAGTACTCTTGTTTATTATGATAATGTATCTTTTGAAAATTGTCAGAAATATTCTTCGGTGTATTTTGCTGTAAATGTACGCAAAATATCCTATAAAATTCTTACATCTTAAACATAAAATTATACGAACTAGTACAAGCTCAATTTTGCTAAAAATAATGAATTTTTAATATGACCATGTGTAACATATTTTCAATCATAAATATAATATATGATGATAATATACATACATATAATAATGATGTACAATGATATACACTTCTAAAAAATTAGTAGTACAACGTTTTACCAATGCCTCAGTACATTATTTATCACCTTCACTTAATCGAACAGAGCTCGAAAATATTCCCCGTCATCCAAAGAGGACGTTCCATCGCACAGTATACAAAAAAAACTTGTCGAATGGTAAAAGATCGCAAGGATGACACTCGACCCCAGCTTTCGAGGAGGACAAGAGGTGACCGTTCGCGGAGGACTATAAATCTCGTTTCTTTCCGTGTCGATGAGCAGACACCTTCGTGCTCGCTCGAACGAATGAGTTCATATCTTCGGGGGCAGAATCGAGTTCATATTAGCCCCATCTGCCTTCTCGGGAAGGGCTTCTACATGAGCGAACAGGCACACAAGACGAGACAACGACAGACAAAACGAAGAGGAGCAACGGACGAACGCGTAAATACATCCGGATTATGTACGGCCAATTGATCACGAATCTGACTGTTGCTTGCCGCGCCTCTCGTGTTTGCTACACACCGTCGGACATACCGTCGAGTTCTTTCACGTAGCCTCTGTCTGATGCCAAAAGCGGATAAATTATTTATGGCGACGGAAAACACGCGTAAACAAAGTCTCTTTATTCTCCTCCCTTTCATTGTCGTGGCGCAGAATACCATGAGAGATTTCGATTTGCTTTGGCGATAAAAATCTGTGAGACAGTTATTGAATATTTGATACTTTGATGACAGGTATTATTAGTTTATCAGACATAGTAAATGTATGTGATATTTTTGTACTAGAGCTTCATAAGGTCCTGAAATCTATTTGCAAAAATTTTTACACGAGGTAAAGACATTGTACGATGTTTAACAAAAGTTAGCTGAAACGCTATGCACACATTCGTATCAGATATGGATATCGTCATATCAGATAAATGTTCAGAAAGTCAGTCGAGAGCTCACTGCACCGTAATTTTGTAACACAGTGCGAGTATAATTAAATCATTCCGATATCTCATTTCCGGTACAAGAACCCTTTCCACGAAATCTCTCAATTGCCAGCGCTGGTTGTCAGCGACAACCGAACGCGCGATCGCGACATCGATCTCCGTTCGCGGCGCGATCGATCTCGCCTCAGCAAGACGATTACAATCCGCTGAAATTCAGTCTATCCGCGCGGCTGAATTATGACGTTCGAGCGTTCGCAAGCGCGCCTCGACAAGCATGGTTGCTGGTATTCGCGAGATTTCAGGAACGCGGGAACGATTAATTGAATTCCGCGGACCAATCCGCGGCCGGTGCTGAAAACTGGCACTCAATCTCGTTAATCGAAAGCGCCGCGGAATGTCGTAACAGCTTGGCGCGAGTTGCACACCGACGCGCGTATGCGAAACGCCGCGGTGCGCCGCGACGTCGTTCATCGTCGTAGTAATCGATTACTATGGCCGGATTATTAAGCGGGTCCCAACGAGCGTAGAAAACGCGACTCGACGAGGTCAAAGGGACACGAAGCAACTTCTCGCTGCGAAAACTCTTCGCGGGATTTCACAGCCGGCTTCGGGAATCGTCGATGCTGGCGTTAAAGTCTCCGGACGGACGCGCGCGCGCCGACGTTATTAATCGCGAGCCGTGCTAAGCGAGTGGCGGGCAATTCGTCAAACGACGTCGACGAGCTTTGAAACGGTTCGACGGTATTTCCTGACTAAATTTTTAATTGCCGACGAAAATGCCGCCTGCTGGAATTTCATTATACAACGCGATTCTGAGCTTTTCTGAAGCTACCACGAATTTCAAGCTTGATGTCCTATTTTCTTCTTCTCGGTTATACGGACAGTTACATTAAATTCTATACGCATAACAAAATCGTCAATATATTATTTATATTGCTCAGTGGGAAGTGGAATTGATCTACGGAGGGCACTAAACAAGCTGACGTTTCTGAAAGTGTTTGGTTATAGATGTGAAGTATTCATATGGGTTAAAATGGTTGACCGAATGTGTTTTGATATTCAGATTCTCTTGACTCGACAATTACGTCTTCTTTACCAATGATTTACGCGTCGTTAACTTCCACAGTCAGAAATTACCAACGCAATTAAAATACGCTTTCTAATTAATCCATAAATTGTTACGCGTACGGAATTGATGTATGTAACGATTATTCTAAGAACCTAAACCCGAAGGAAATCATAGAATTTTGCAGAGATCGGAGCACACGAACGTCGAGATTAACCCGGCAAGAAGATCAGAAGCTTAAAACGAGCAGAAAGCGATAAATTCCGAGTCCCTGTCGTTTCGCAGTCGCAGTCGGTAAGCCATGGTATCCGTTACGCTGCGATTTGCGAGGCTCGTCGAGTATTTCGCACAGAGTGGGACTCGTTTGCCAGCAGGACAAGAAAAAGACGCTTTAACGAGCCCTAATAGGATTCGTACTGGCGTGCATTTCTTTGGGAAAAGGGATTCCGGTCAAAACGTCGTTAGTCGTCCGAAAACGTTCGAACAGCATGGGCCACTTTCGGACTCGTGACCCAGCAAGGATCCTTTGGCGCAGGATCTCTGTCACGGGTAGGTGTCCTGCGTGAATGGCCGCTCGAGAACGAGCTCGTTCTCCGGCCGAACGATGTTTGCCCACAATACGATAAACGCAAATGATGCTGCATCCCTTTTCTGACAACGTTCTCTCGTTCATTTGCCTCTGTTTAAAATCTGGATACGATCTTTAGTTTTCAAGCTTGAATCAAGTTTTTAAAGAATGAAGCTTGAAGTGAAATGAATTCAATGTTCGAACAAAATTCAATGAAATGAATTTTGAAGCTACAAGTTGAAGTTTCATTAACTTCATGAACGTCTAATGTTAACGTTCAGTCTTTCTAAGTCGAAAGGTAAGTGCTGTTAGAATGCTTCATCTAATTTGATGTAATTGATAATAATATCGTTAAAAGATCAGATTTTATGAAGTTGTTGTACATAAAGACCTAGTTTGGATATAGAAAGTCAGTCAAGTTTTGATTATACAAAAGGGAATGATACCTATACATATAATGTTAGATGTAACACTTATGAGATCAGCATCTATTGCACCACATATGACGT